TCCTATACTATTCTTATCCCCCTGTCTATTTTGTTCCTACCCAATTATGCTTCTTAATCCCTGCATCTTTTCCCCCCATTCTTCCTCTTCTCCCTCCCTGCTGATGATCCTCCAGATGATCTCCATATCTTTGATTCTGTTCCTGTTCTGCTTGTTTGCATATTTTGTTTGTCTGAGATTCAGTTGTTGGAAGTCGTGAATTTGTTGCCTTTTTAATGTTCATGGTTTTCATCTTCTTTTTCTTAAATAAGTCCCTTCAGCATTTCATGTGATAATGGCTTGTTGATGATGTACTCCTTTAGCTTTACCTTATCTGGAAAGCACTTTATCCGCCCTTCCATTTTAAATGATAGCTTTGCTGGATAGAGTAATCTAGATTGTAGGTCCTTGCTTTTTATCACTTTGAATACTTCTTGCTTGCAAAGTTTCTTTTGAGAAATCAGCTGACAGTCTTACGGGAACTCCCCTGTAGGTAACTAACTTATTTCTCTTGCTGCTTTTAAGATCCTCTCTTTATCTTTAACCTTTGGCATTTTAATGATGATGTGTCTTGGAGTGGGCCTCTTGGCATCCGTCTTGTTAGACTTATATGTCTATTTTCTTCACCAAGTTATCGAAGTTTTCCTGGGCTTGTATGTCTATTTCCTTCACCAAGTTAGGGAAGTTTTCTTTCATTATTTTGTCAAATAAGTTTTCAATTTCTTGCTCTTCCTCTTCTCCTTCTGGCACCCCTATGATTTGGATGTTGGTATGTTTAAAGTTGTCCCAGAGGTGCCTAAGCCTATGTTCATTTTCTTTGTTCTTCTGTTCTGGTTGAATGTTTATTTCTTCCTTATGTTCCAAATTGTTGATTTGAATCCTGGCTTCCTTCCCTTTATTGTTGGTTCCCTGTGGATTTTTCTTTATTTCACTTAGTGTAAGCTTCATTTCTTTCCTTATGCATTTGCCATACTCAGTGAGTTCTTTGAGCATTCTGATCACCAGTGTTTTGAACTCTGTATCTGATAAGTTGGTCGCCTCTATTTCATTCTTCTTCTGGAGTTCTGTTCTGTTCTTTCATTTGGGCCATATTTCTTTGTCTCCCTGTGTTGATTTCTGTGTATTAGGTAGAGCTGCTTTGACTCCCTGTAGAAGGTACCTATAAATTGTATGGGGTGGAGCCTTAGGTAATCGCCAGGGTGGGGCAACCTGCTTCACCACTTCCTGGCTCCATGGGGGTTAGGGAGGGCTCGGAGAGGGGACAGTGCTGCTGCCTGGCTTCTGGAGGTTTGCCAGGCACTCACCCTGTTTCCAGTCACTTCCCCCACTTCCCCTGTGTGACTGGTGCCCTTGCAGCTGCTGCCCTGGTGATGAAACCCAGAGTGGGTGCGTTTGCATAGTTCTAAGTCTGTGTGGGCCCTTTAAGCAGCAAGAATTCAGCAGTTTCTTCTGCTGCCCCAACTCCCACTGGTATTAACAGCCAGAAGTAATGGGCATTTATCTTTCTGGTGCTGGACCCCTGGGACCTGTGGTCTGGCCTGGGGCTGGGACCACTTGCTCCCAAGGTGTCCTTCCTTATTTTTAACCACCATATGTACGTGTCCATTCTGCCACTGCTGTTGCCGCCTCTCCACCCATCTCTGTGACTCTGCCCTTCCCACCCATCTAGAATGTGGCTTCTTTAAATCCTTGGTTGTCAGACTTCCATAGAGCTCAATTTTCTGATGGTTCTGGGCGTTATTTGTTTTGAATTCTGGTTGTAATTCTCCCTGTGGTTGCACAAGGACACAAAGCATGTCTACACACACTTCCATCTTGACCAGAAGTAACTAAAATAAAAAATTTTAAAACGTAGCCTATAGCACTGGCCAGTTTAGCTCAGTTGATTGGGCATCGTCCTGCAAACCAAAAGGTCAAGTATTCCGTTCCTGGTCAGGACACATGCCTAGACTGCAGGTTCAGTCCCCAGTTAGGACGCACACAAAAGGCTTCTGATGGATATTTCCCTCCTCTCACATTGATGTTTCTCTCCCTCTCTTTGGCTTTTAGAACCTGCAGTTTTCCCTGGCTGGTGTGGCTCGGTGGATTGAGCACCACCTGCAAACCAAAAGGTTGCCAGTTTGATTCCCAGTCAGGGCACATGCCTGGGTTGTGGGCCAGGTCCCCAGCCGGGGGCATGTGAGAGGCAACTGAGTGATGTATCCCTCACACATCAGTGTTTCTCTCCTTCCCTTTCTCCCTTCCTTCCCCTCTCTCTCAAAAAAATTTGATGCCATTGTATGACAGTGCTGCGGTCTGAATGTTTGTATACCTCCATAAAACTCCTTTGTCGAAATCATAACCCCTGTGGTACTTGTGGATGGAAGTCTTCCAGGCATGAGGGTGGAGGGTGGGGCCCTTATGAATGGGATTAATGACTTATAAAAAGGATGACACCCCTGGCTGGTGCGGCTCAGTGGACTGAGTGCCGGCCTGCGAACCAAAGGGTCACTGGATTGATTCCCAGTCAGGCCACATGCCTGGGTTTAGGGCCAGGTCCCAAGTAGCTCATGAGATAACAATGTATTGGTGCTTCTCTCCCTCTCTTTCTCCCTCCCTTCCCCTCTCTCTAAAATTAAATAAATAATATCTTTAAAAAAAACCCTAAGACCTTTAAAAAGTTTTTTAAAAAGTGGCCAGAGAGCTCCCCAGTCCTTGCTACCATGTGAGGACACAGTGCGAAGTCAGTTGTCTACAACCGGGCAGAGGGTCAACTCCAGACCCTGAATCTGCTGAGGCCACCGCCCTGGATGTCTCAGCCTCCAGAACCGTGAGAAATAAATGCTTGCTGTTCCTAAACCACCGGGGTTGAGTGAAAGAATGCTGAGTTTTTTACATAATCTGATTTTAAGTTGAAGAACCTGATGAGGCAGTGTTTGCACAACAGAGGTGACAAACAGTGTGCAATGCTCACCCTTGCCTGAGGCTGAGAAGCTCAGTAGAGGCAGGTCAGGGCCTGCTGTAACCTTTGGGGCTGGTGACTGTGGTGGTGCGGGCACCCACAGTGCCTGTAGTGGTGTGCTTTACTTCTAAGGCCAACCTGTCAGCAGGCCCCCTCGAGGCCCCTGTGAAGCGCCAGGTGCACAGATCTCGATCTGAATTCCTCTGCCTCTGCCCCGCCTCGGGGCCCACACCGTCCAGGGCCCTCTGCTGGGCCCCACGAGAGAGCAGGAAGAGTCTGGAGACCTGGCCACAAGGCTCATCTTGCCCACCTACTGTGTGACCTTAGGCCAAGTATTGAACACCCATGAGCCTCAGGTTTCCTTATCGAAAAAGTGGAAATGGCAGTATATCACAGGATTGTTGGTGAGAGTGAGTAAATCACCTGCTGAATTATTGTCCATGAGCAATGTTAGACAAAGGCCACTTGCTGATACTTTAAACTGTACAGACTCAGCACCGCTGTGTGTCCCTTGTCACCTCCAAGTCATCCTGGCGACACCACTGCCTGGGACTGGCCAGCAGGGAGGGGGACAGGACACCTGACATCTGGTCAAGTGGACGTGTGCTCCTGACACCTATGAGCCAGGTCTGACGCCACCTCCGAAGTGTCTGTGGGAAAGGAAGCTGAGAAAGGGTCACCCACAGAGTGTGGGGAAGGCGGTCAGGAGTTCAGACAGGCAGGCTCTCTGAGGGAGAGTGCAATGTCATCCAGCATGGACCCCCTTCCAGACCCGCCCTCCCTGCCCCCCCAAGCTCTAAGAACTGTCTGGGGGTGGGGGTGGGGGTGGGGGCGGCTCCTGGAGCGCAGCAGACATTTTTTTTTTCAGCATCAGAATTTATCAATCAGTAATTATCAACAGTAGCTATTCAAACCAGGTGTTTTAAAGAGATATTCAGCTAAAACTTTGCAAAGAAAATGTGCTCCCATGTTTATAACTCCAAATAATGCGACAAGAAACATACAGGTTCACACAGGAAGCATTGTTACTGAAAATGTTGAACCTCAGTGCGCTCATGGGAAACAGACAAACCCGTAGACTCCTTTGAAAAAATCTTTGCCACGGGGAGAAAGAAAAACAGCAGAGACACTTTCTTAGATTAAAAGATACTAAAGAAATACAACAATCACAATATGTACACCTTGATTGAGAGATTGAAAAAACTATATGAAATACTTTGGGAATAGTTGGGCAAATTTGAATGTGGAATATATAGATCTGAAACTGTATTTTTTTTTACCTAAAAAAAGCTGATCATGTGATTATATAGAAAATGACTTTATTCTTAAGGAATGCCAGTTGTAACGGTAAAAAGAAATATAGAAGTGAAGCATCGTGATGTTTGCAACTTATTTTCCAGTGATGTAGCAAACATGTATATGCTTCTATATAATGTTTTATGTACATACACAAAGAGAGAGAAAGAGAGAGAGAAAACAAGTGTGGTAAAATATTAACAATGACCAGTACACAGGCATTCCTTATGCCACTCTTTCAGCTTCTCTGAGGGTTTGGAAAACTTCATCGTGATGAAGCTAAAGAAATTGCATCTGTACGCTGTGCTCCTTAAACACTCTATGAAGATAAGTACTATCTCCTCATTTCATTTCTGAGTTCACTGTATTATTGGCTACCTTTGCCTACCGCGTCATTGTGTCTTTTAACAAACATCATGTTGTTTTGCCCTGTTGGCTCCCAAGAAGGAACATTCACATGATAAATGTATAACCCGCCTTGGCCAAGTTCACATGAGGGATGTATTCACAGCGTCATCTGGGCCGTCTCTGAGAAGGAGCTCCGTGGCCGCGTGCTTTGTGCCCCCCACGATGTGCCCCTTTACTGCCCCTCTCGCTGTGGCGCTTCCTCCTGTGGCAAATGTGGCCTTTGGCATCCCTCTTGCCTGCCTGTTCTTTCATCCACTGCTTAACCGTGCGGCTGTGCGGGCTGACGCAGATCCTTCTGCGCTTGACGTGCAGGCTGCCGAAAAGGGAAGAACGAGAGTCACTGGCGGAAAGGACAAGCAGACACTCGGAGACTTACCGCCAGTCCCCGCTCTCAGGCACGGCGCATTCTCGCAGAGCCGACCCTGAGAATGAGCGCCGCGGGGCCGCAGCTCTACTGCACTGTGGTCCATGGCTCCTCGGCAGCAGAAAGTCGTAAAGGAAGAAGGAGAAGGGCCTAGGGGAGGAGGTGGGGAGGAGGGAGAGGAGGGGGAGGAGGGAGGAGGGGAGGAGGGGGAGGAGGGGGAGGTAATAAACCAAGCGAAAACAATTCTCTTTCTGGACCCCAGGCTTCATCCAACAAGACAAAACGCATCCAGCCCTCACTGCCCGTCTCAGACACGCCCTCCCCTCCGCAGGCAGGTTTCTGAGACCCTCTCGGCTAAGTGCCCTCTTCCCCCCCTGAGTCCCCATGGCCCTGACCCTCGTCCCTCTTCTGGCACCTGGTTGACTCCGTCTTTTATTCGAGCACGAGTCTCAGACTTTCTCCTTTTCCTGTGGTGGTGTTCTCTGAGGGAGGAGTAGTTTGCAAGTGTCTTGAGAAGGCCTTGTTCACAGTAGGAATTCAGGAATTCGTTGTAGGTAGGAAGTGAAAATGGTTCAAAACAAGGACCGTCTGGTTTTGTTTCCGATGAAACAATCAACTGAGATATTCTAGGTTTTCGTTAACTTTTTAACACACTATAGGTCTACACCGCATCTCAGAATTTGTTTCCTTTTTCTGCGTGAGAATTTGACTGTGGGGTGGCAGACCCCCTAGGGCACCATTCCCAGTTTCTAGTAACTAGAAGACTTTTTTGTTACAAAAGACATTATGACTTCTAATTCCCCATCAGATACCATCGAGTTCTTATTAAATGTTGCAAATCCTGCTGACTCTACATGTACACTAGTTCTGTGTCTGGATAAACTGAAATCCCATTGGGGGAAACCCAGGGAGATACAGAGGAAGCTGCTGTTTCTCCAGATGACCCCATGAGTCGTCAGCTCATGTGGGGACTCTTGAAATGGGGGGACCAGCCGGGAAAGTTATGAATGAGCTTCAGCACAATCAAGCCAATGCGTGGGAGTGTTCGTCTGAAAGAAGCGAGGCATCTTAACAGGGGACAATGGAGGACAATGCGTCTACTCCTATACCTCGTAGGTCTCGTACCTGTCTTGTACCTGCTTATCCCCAGGAAACTTCTCTGAAACTCCTGTCACCAGCAGTGTCACCAACAGCGCTGGAGACCCCAGCATGTGTCTCTACTCGCACACCCAGCCAGAAACGTCCAGTTTCTGATTTTCCAGAGCATCGTCTATCCACGAACGGCCTATGAATTTTCACTCCCCAGCTACCACCAGCACCATTTGTTAAGATTAAATTTTAAGCCCTGGCTGGCGTAGCTCAGTGGATTGAGCATGGGCTGCGAACCAAAGTGTGGCAGGTTCGATTCCCAGTCAGGGCACATGCCTGGGTTGCAAGCCATGACCCCCGCAACCGCACATTGATGTTTCTCTCTCTCTTTCTCTCTCTCTCTCTCCCCACCCTTCCTTCCCTCTCTGCAAATAAATAAATAAAATTCTTTAAAAAAAAAAGACTAAATTTTAAAAAACCCATAGAATGATGGCCGGGCGCACACTAAAGTTTTCCAAAGGACGTGGGCACTAGGAGCAGCCCTCAGGAGGCGCCCGAGACAACGGAGGGAGCCCCGTGGTGGCGTGAACTCAGGAGAGGCTGCGAGGCCCTCGGTCCACCCCCTTCCCCCACGCAGCCAGCCACTGGTGGGAATCTATGGACCTTCTCCCCAGAACCCGCTCACACATTCACATCTACGAATTTCAGAGCCTTCTTGGCCCCCTTCCCTGAAGCAAGTCTATCAGCGATACCTTACGAACTCTTCCTCTGGACTTCCCAGAGCCTTGTCTTGGAGGGGTGTGTCTCAACCCTGGGTAACAGTTAGTTGGCTTCCTCAGAAAAGGGGGGAACGTATGCTCAGTCCCAGAGGGAGTCTCCCGGAGACTCTGGAGGGCAGAGTCTGTGTGGTCACCGGTGCATCCCCAGCATATACACTGGTACCTCATCGCTAATCAATGACTATGTGTTGACTGCATTGGATAAATAAGGAGGCTCCCCAGTGACTCAGGAACGCAGGGATAAGCAGCAGGCCTGTGTGGCCCAAAGAAGGGAGCGCCGGGCGGCTGGTGAGCAGTGTCTGGCTCTGTGTCCGGAGAGCTCGGCGGTGTTAAGAGCAGCACGCAGGCGAGATGCCTGATGTGCCGTCGCTGCGAGTGGAAGGTGTCGAACGCAGCGGAGTTTGGGCACAGGACAGTACGGTCGATCCCACCACCGCTTTTGGGAAGGACACAGTGGTCCGGACGAAGCTGTTCACTAGCTGCATGTCACCAGGAGAAAGGACATAGACAGCACCATTTGCTATTGTGGCAGCATTGGCCCAGCAGGCCTGTGACCCTCTTAAACCTGATGGCCATTTTACTCTTCTGGGCTTCTGTCCCCAGGACTGGAAGTGACTGGAAGCGGGAACAGAGCTGAGCTCTCCCTGCAGCCACAGGTGGAAGGTAACATTGGAACACACTGCAGCCTGGGCTTCCCACGCCCCAGCAGCCGGGGGGGCCCCCGCACAGCAGCCACCCCACCCTTTTTAATCCAGTTGTAACCCAGTAACAGCCCAAAGCCCCCACGCCCCTCTCCTCTTTTGCAGAGTGAATATCATCTTTACTCTCTGCACTTCCTTCTCTCTGTGAATTCTTCCACGGCCCACGTCACCGACCGCCCGAACGCCAGGTGCACTTTGTGATCTCTGCCACATCTGTCTCCTGAGTGACGTGGCTCACGAAGGCCTTCCTCACAGCACTGAGGTCAGCACCCAGATTTGCAAAGCGCCCGTGCATTACAGACTTTACAGTCTGCACGGAGACACTGAGCACACCTAAGTCTAAAGTTTTTACTGACCAAGCCAAGGGTGGAGGCAGGACAGGGTGAGAGGGTTCACCGCGAGCCAACAGCCCGAAATTGAAAGCAAAGAAGGGCGCCTGTGCTGGGTGGCACGTGGCAGTTGTGACAGGTGCAGTCGCCTCTGCACTTCTGTGTGACCTGACACGCACCCTGGGCGAATGCAGCAGCGAGACGGACAGCGCCCCACAGGCTTGCCTGGAAACGGTTGCAGTGGGAGCCGTGGCAAAGGACAGTCACTTCTGGGTCTATGTTTGTTTGTTCGTTTGTTTGTTACTCAGAATGTCCGTTCTTTTGCTTGGAAAATTTGAGCGCCTTGCTCAGTGACTGGAGGCATGTAGCCCTGATCTCAGCCCTGCGGTGGGGGCAGCAGGGGGCCATGGGGGCGCTCTGGACACCCTAGCTCAGGTGCAGGGAGCCAGCATCACTCCAGGGAGGTGGGGGGGGGGAGGTGCCGGGGGAGCGTGGACTGTCCCCTCCCAGCTTCAGTGATCATCTGCATGTGGTGTGTCAGGTGGGGCCTCCCCAAGGAAGGGTCACTGGGCAGGTTTAGACCGCCCTCGGACCGGCACTCACATGACGGCGGCCAAGTCACAGTCCCCATCAGCTCTCTGGATGCGACAGACGTTCACTCTCTGCAGAAGCCTTCTGGAGATACGCTGGGAGACCTCAGTGCAGCAGCTGGAGGCAATGGGAAGTATGGCTGAAAGAGGAAAAGAAGGGAAGTGTTAAACTTATAGTTGGTAGCACAACAGCCCAGTCCTCATCTGGAAGATTCCGGAGAAACAGAACGTTGATCCTCTTGCGCATGTGCTGACGGACGGCTTCACGCGTGCAGACCCGGAGCAGACCCGTCTCTGCCTTCCAGAACTTACACTGTGTTCGCGGGAGATGAACCTGAGAACACGCAGGCAAAGACACGAAACGAGCGGAGAGATGGAAAACCGCTCCAGACCACGGCGCTCGTCGGGGAGGGCAGACTGACTGGAGAGAAGAAGACGGAAGAAGCGAGGTCGACACAGCCCTGGAGGGAGCCACCACATGGCCCCTGGAGCAGGTTTAAAAGTTCCCCACCTGGATGGAGAAAAATGGAGACTTACCCAGACTAAGAGCACAGTCAAGAGTTCTGAGATACGCCCTGACCGGGGTGGCCCAGTGGAGTGGGCGATGGCCCCACAGAGAGAAAGTTCGCCGGGTTCGATTCCCAGTCAGGGCACGTGCCTACATTTCAGGTTTGGCCCCCAGGCTGGGCGTGTATGAAAGCTCTGAGATAGGAAAGCATGAAGTACATTGCGGGTGCACCCAGGGCGCAGAGAAAAACAGCCCGCTCTGTCCGGACTGAGTAGCTGGGAAGATGAGGGTGGGGACCATTGTTCAAAAGGCAGAGGTCACACCACTGAGGCCTTAAATGTCAGTCTCAGGAGGGTTAGCCCTTGTGGAATGGAGACCATTACAGATCAGAGAAAGGAGGAGGGTTTTAGGAAAATCCACATTACGATGGTAAGCAAGGTGGATTAAAATGGGAGAGATGGAGGGTAGGAACTCAAGCTAGGAGGGGCTCATGTCACCCAGACGTAAGGGGATGAGGGCAGCCACACCAAAGTCAAAGGAAATCTCACCCCTGCAAAGTGTGCTCCTGCAAATTCCCACCTGCCACAGGCACACGGCATTTTCCTACACTTCCCGTTCCACCAGGTACAGAGGAAATTAAAGAAACAAATTTAGGAATTAGAATCAAGAGGCTGCAGGTGGCAGCCTGATCATTTCAGACAGATGTTAGCCCCTGAGTGAGGAGTCAATAGAAGTGCTTCAGCTGCTTCATGCTGTCGGCTGAGAGCACCGGTCACCTGCCCCGGGAAGAGGAGAGCAGCCCCATGTCCCTGCCTCACCTGCGGTGACCTCAGGCCCCCGCACAGCTGTGGGCAGAGAGCGGCCGAATGTGAAGCAGGACTCCCTCTGGGACTCACTCTCTGGGCACCAGAACTTTCCATTGCCATTCCTCCGTTCACCTGTTCATTTAATTCTTCAGTAAACATTTACCAAGCAGTTCCAGGCACCATGCTCATCACTGGGAGATACAGAAATAAATAAAAGAATATATCCCTGTCCTTAAGAGGCTGCAGTAGTGGAGACAGATTTGGAACTAAAGGCTTCAGAAATAACCGCGTCGGCCCACGATAGTTGTACGTCTGACATTTGGTCCTCCTGAAAGGTTCCCGCAAGCCATAAAGACGGGCGCGGAGGTATTCACTAGAGCAAAACATTAGAGACCATCTGCTCGTCTGCCCGCAGATCAATAGCTAACGGTCCGTCTAAAGGGAAGAGAGGATGAGGTTGCTATATAGATCCTCATGTATTTGAGTCCCATAATTTATCGTTGAGTGAGGAAAGCACATCTCAGCATGAAAGCTATAAATGATTCCATTTTTATTTAAAAAATGTGCACAGATACACTGAAGAAAAGATGTGGGACTATATAACCCCGGATTTATAAGCAAAGACTTCTTCTAGAAAGGGGACAAATTTTCAACTGGCCTGCGATACTTGACATTTTAAAAAATGTCCAGTGCTGCTCTGGCTGGTGTGCCTCAGTGGATTGAGTGCTGGCCTGTGAACCATATAGGGTGGCTGGTTCAATTCCCAGTCAGGGCACACGCCTGGGTTGCGGGCCATCCGCAGTAGGGGGCATGTGAGAGGCAACCACACATCGATGTTTCTCTCCCTCTCTTTCTCCTTCCCTTCCCCTCTCTGTAAAAATAAATAAATAAAGTCTTTTTAAAAAAAAAGCTCAGTGCATGGAGATCCGGAACAGATTGTATAGAAACACAAGATATGAGAGGACCCCACTAGGGAAGAAGGGGAGCAGCAGAGGACGTGAAGGTGGGACCCAGTTTTCGAGGAGTGGAAATCCACCTGATGGAGGTGGGTGGGGTGGGGTGGGTGTGGATGGAACATTCCGAGAAGCAGGAACGTCACATCCAGGGGAGCAGCAGGGAAGGAAACGCTGAGTCGAATGTGCAGAAGCTGGTGTCTTAGACCCGGCAGTCTTCTCTGGCCAGATCCTTATCAGCAATAACTGTATAACTAGGAGGCTCCGCAGTGACGTCAGGCCTTCTCCTTGACCGGGGGAAAACGCCTTGACCTTAGTCCCAGGCCCTCGAGGAGGACCTGTGCCCAGGGCACTGGAGTGCTTTCCGCCCAGAAAGACACACTTGCACCTTCTTTCCCGCCCACCTGTCCCAAGAGCTCAATCAGTACTGCTCCTTTGGGGACAGAATCTCGGCTTGCTTCTGACAACCTAGCGTCAGCCCAGTATATATATATGTATATATATATATTTTTTAATTCTCAGGAAATTGGAATATACATACAATCTCCAAGTATCCTTTAATTATATATTTACATAAATTCATTTACAAAAATGTATGTCTGCAATAACTGGTTTTCTATTTATTTTTTCCCCACCTGGCATGCCAGAGAATGTTACCGGGCAGGGACCAGCCTGCAGCGCTGCCTCGGGCCGGCTGGTAGTGTGTGGGTCCTTGACTTCATGCAGGACAGAGTTCACAACACGAGTCCAGATGACTTTGGAGAGGACGCTTATTAGAGCTGGGGACAGGTCTAATAAGGGCTTCCTGGGAAACCAGGAAGGGCTAGGGATAGAAGCGACAGGAGAGAGCCCAGCTGGGACTCCTTTGGTTCACAGACAAGTCAGGGAAAGGGGGTCTTGGGCGCAGGTTCAGGGGGTTAGCCCTGGAGAAGCTGCCGCTGCCCACGGCTCCACTGGCTTCAAGTCTCATAGGCTCCCTTAGAGTTTTGGAGATGCGCCTGCCTGTGGGGGAAGGGGAGCGGGGAGGGCAAGGCCCTGCTGTTCTCCCGGGAGGGTGAGCACCCCTGTCTCCAGTAACTTCTAAACCCTGCATTTAAGTGAAGAGGTGGAGTTGAAATATACAGGCCATACAAAGTGTTCATAGTTCTGCTCAGCCTCACTTCAGTTCTAACTGAGTGTCATGCGAGTCTGCAGCAGCCCAAACGAGGAAAATATTTCCACTTCCCAGTGCAAGCTATTGCATGCCGCAAGGATCGCTCTCTCCCCTCGCAATCTGGAGCCAGTAAGTGCTTTCCGTTTTGTTCCGCATGTGAGGAGCGTGTATGGAGGCACACCCAAACATCACCCAACCAGATTCGCTGGGACGGGGAAAGCATCGTTTGTGCAGCAAACACGCATCACCCTGTGTGCCAGGCCCCTCACTCCGCATCGGAAATGTCGAAATAAAGGAGCCACGGGGTCTAACAGGGCTGGGAGGCAGGCAGGGAAACAAATACTCACAACACAGCCAAAGAAGAGTCAACAGAGACATGTTCCAAGTGAGACAAGCCAGATCCGAAGGGTCACGCACTGTAAAATTCCGTTTATATGAAATGTCCGAGCAGGTAAATGCTCAGAGGCGGAAAGGAGACTGGTGGTGTCCAGGGCCTGGGGTATGGGCAGTGGGGTGGGCAGTGACTGCTCACAGGTGCATGGCCCCTTTTGGGGGTGACGGAACATGCTGGAATCAGTGTTGGCGACAGCGTCATTCTGTGAATACACTACACACCACGCAACCGTACACTACAAGATGGTGAATTTGATGGTATGTCAATTACATTTCAACTTCTTAAAAAGTGCTGTAAGGAGAATGGAACAGTGGTTGTCCTGATATTTACCAATATTGATACATTTATTTCCCAAAACTAATTGTTTTTTTTCTCTAGCTACGTGGTGCTGCCTATTCTCCAAGTCACGCTGTTTTATTTTCAATATCCCCTTAAAAATTTGGAGTGTATCCATGTATCCATCCACGCATCTCCTCTTCTTACTGTGTGAATTCTTACAGAATGAACCACTTCTGTGTATCTATATCCATATCTATTCTATGTCTACATCTATACCAGAGCTGGAGGTGGGAAAACGAAGAGTTACTAGCTTCAAAGGTCTCGTGCACAGGCCACTGCTACGCACGCGCCGTGACCCAGGCAACTGAGAAACAGCGGCTGGATTTCCCGAACAAGCGTGGGAATCTAGCTCCATTGGAAAACCTGCCTATTTAGGAATCTGAGTTTGCTGAGGGCTGACATCACCTCGGGGGGTGGTTTTAAGCCAGAACGACACTCACGACTTCTAAGTCCTGAGTAAACTGGATGGCATTTCTCAAATGTCTCAACCATAAAGGTAGGACGGGCTCACCTGGAGATTACTTGACCCCATCAGGTTCACTGTCAAAAGGCAAGAGGCAGGCCGCGTTTGTTGCGTGCTGGTGGATGTGACTGGCCCCAAGGGAGGTAAAAGCCGGAATCCTGTGCAAGTGCACCGGGAGCTGGGCCGGGAGGAACCTGCCAGGGCGGTCTGGACTCGGGCGCTGGTAAGAGTCTTCTGGATGATGTCGCCCCCTAGAGGTTTTCTCATGCAGCCTCCAGTCAGAGTATTCCCATTTTTAAAGAAAGGTCAGCAATTCCTCTGATTTCCATGCAGGTGAGATTTAGTAGTGGCAATAAGGTTGCAAAGGGGATTAGGTGGCACTTCTTCGGCATTAACAGAGTTTTCATTTATAGGATATGTTTTACTTGTTTGTGGAAGCCGGCTTAGGAGGAATTAGGGAAACCACACCTGAGAACACCACCTTGATGCCACCATCGTCTAAGACCAGAAACCCCAAGGAAACG